GTATGAGAATAGTAGCCATGCTCTTCGCAATCTGTTAAGTACTCAGATCAAACCGCGCACGTGTGCTCTCACAGGTAGAATTTGGTTTCACAGTTTTTTGTCGCGTGGCATCTCACATTCAATGCAGGGAAAGATTGGAATGAAGGACAAGTGAGGAATACTGTACGTGAAGCTATTCCACATTACCCTTCGACGGGTTATTGAAACTACTCATTTGCACGTCCGGTAGAGAACAGAGAGATCGCAGTCAGACACTCTTTCCGAGATGAAAGAAAGCATCAATTTGTTTGGTAAAGAGTCTTGGCGTGTATGTCGTCACCCGTGTAGATCCTTTTCATACAACAGGCGCTTCATGCGTATTACACCGAAGTTCTCTGTGCAGTTTGCACGTGAAAGCCGGGTAACGCACGTGTATCCCAAACATGGTCACTACATGTCGGAATGAACTGAAGTGATCAGATAGTCTGAAGCTCACTGCTAATTTGCGGAGAGGTTTCAATGCTGTTGATCTTCTTGTCGTTCTACATCCTGCAGTCTGTTACTGACAATCGGCCGCACATGAGTTGACCGTCTTCTGAAATTTGGTGTCCTCGATAGGACTACAACCTCCTTTTTACTGCCCACTGCGCTGTGCTATTGCTATTCGTCAAGGACGACTGTTGTACATGGTTATGCACCAGATATGGTGTACCGTATTCTAAGGGAAACAATCCTCATTCTCGTCGTCACTCGTCGATTCGCTGGAATCCACGGGTGCGGCAGTGTCACATGTTGATCTACTGAACTTGGTGGCACATGCACGTCGTAGATCGTTCTCATCCTGTCCTTTATCACGGTCATCCTGTGAAAAGTACGCCCGCCCAAGTTCAATAAACCGCACCCTCCAGGTCACTACTCCCTTCTTATCCATCTCTCGTCTCACCCTCATGTTCCGCGTGCCGATGTCCATGTGTCGCAATCCAGTCTCGTGAAGCTCTTTAAGTGCTTCGTGCGCCGCTTGTGTTAGCAATTCACTATCTCTGCTGTCAAGCACGACATTCCCACACCTCAACACTTCATTGAGCTCGTTTTCGTTTGATTCCATGGTCAATGATTCTCCCACATGCTCTGTCACAACCACTGTGTCCGTTACCGGTTCCTTCCAGAGTGCCACTACACGCGGTAACACCGTCCCTAACAAGTGTGAACACCTCTCCGCGATTTCCCCGAACAACTCAGCCTCGTTCACGATCATATCTAATCCTTCTGGGCAAGCGCAGTTCCAGTACTTCACGGCTACTTCCATGTCACCATTCCAGCTCCGCAACACTGGCGAATGCCTGTCCGTCGTGATGATGTCATCTGAGGCACCCATTAAACGGCGGATCCGTTCTGGTTGGTGCAGCAGTGCTGCATCATGTTCAAAAAATGCGCTGTCCTGGGGTTTCGGACGCTTATGTCTGTTCTGAATACATGCTGCCATGTTTGCAGTTTTGGTGCCACTACGATCAGATGTCGCGTCATTGACACGAGAGCCCAGCCCCGTTTTCATTTTGTCGGGTTTCAAAACGTTGCGACTACTTTCAGTGGGCCCAGAGCTTTCACGCGGATTCTTCCTCAGACGAGTTTGTTGAAAATCATTGAACGCTACGTGCAATTCATCGCTGCTGCCAGAGCTGGTGTCACTTTCGCGGAGCACCGCGATGATGCCATGAAACTAGGACTCGTCCGCGTTACACTCGTAAAGCCTGGAAACCTCGACCTTCAGTTCCCATCCGCTCCTCTCGCTGTGCGCTTCAACTTTCATGAACATGGCGTCGTTGTGCCACAACGAAGAAACCAGTGGTTTGTTAAGAAGACGCACCCATTCTTCGTATGCATAGCGTGTATCGAAGCCTGCGACATCATTCTCACGTACCATATCTTCCCTTCTGTTTTGTATCCGTCATTGTGCGCCGCGGCAACATGCACTGAAGCATTCTCCTGGGCAGGAGCTCGAGTAAGCGGCATTGACGGCCCCTTCACTACTCCTGCCACTAAAATGATTCGTTCGTGATTCTGGTCAATATCTTTCGAAAACAGAAAGGCTGGAGATCGACGGGAGATTAAATCCATTGGTGGCGACCCACCATACCGGAACAAAGACGATGGCATGCGTTTGTTTTGACCAGCAGTAGCGATAGTTTGCTTGTTGTCAAGCTTTTCGTAAAACCGGCCATAGAATCAGAAGCATTCGAGACAATTTTGCGATGCATCAGCTTCTGTGGCCATAATGTATTTCCTTGTTAATCGCTTTTTGGCTCCAGTAAATGTGTCAAATCTCTACACTTTCGTTGCCGGCGAGAAAAGCGATAAGATTTCTGCTATCATTACGTAAAATTCTCACCTTGCCGCCAAAGTCGGGCCAAGCACTAGATCTTGCCCGTTCGGGTAAAATCTCAACCAATATGTTACCTCCGCTCAAATGCCCCTCTTACACGGGAAAGACGAGCGGACGAGTGGGCGGAAGCTTTAAGTTAACGAAATAGTGCTCACCTTGTTCTCTAGACCAAGAACGCGGTTTGTATGGAAATGGGGGAACGGATACACCATATCTCAGAAGGAGGAACTTATAAAAGGAGCGATCCGTTCAGAACTTTCACCTGGCTGATCTTCAGAACGTTGACGAGGCTTGTCGTAAAAAAAGGCCTCCAACATCTGTCCGCTTCTGCTCTTTCATCAGCTCCCTTTCACACGAATCGTTGTTCATAAGGCAGTAGAGTTGGGTAGGTCTGACAAGAAGCGTACCACGCCAGTGCAAGGGCAAGATAGCTGGCCCTGTTTATTCCATTAGCTTAGAAATTCGGCTCTGCTGCGCTGGCTGCGACCTGGCGCGACCTGCAGCCAGAGTGAGCACGGAGGGGCGGTACGCGTGGCAGGACGAGGGGGAAAGGGGCGACGAAGACCGGAGAGAGGACGAGAGCAGTAGCGAAGAGGACGGGGGAGCAGCGGGGCGGGGAACGCCGGCAACGATGGTGGACCAGAGACGAAGGGACGGCGGAGCGGGAGGTGCGGGGCGAGGAGCGGAGAAAGAAGGGATTTGGCTCGGCGCGCAAAGCGCGCACGGAGCCCACTTGTACCCTTCTAAATTAAGGACCGCTACACTGATCACAGTATTTAACCTAGACACACAAAATAGTATGGATTCAAAATTAATCTGGTCCAGATTAATTGTTGTGACCAGCCCTCCTCCTCGGCTTATCATATTGCCGGCTAATACAGTATTACGGATGATTCGAACCGGTTTGGCCCTAAATTAAAACGGTTTGTGGGAGGAAAAGCAGCTGTCCCATGAGCTACAGGCCATTAGGGAGTTTTATTGCGGAACATCGCAATAATTTTGATGGTGCTCCAATCGAATGAAGAGTCGTGGCAATGCGTATGATGACTGCGTCCAGGTTAAATATATCACCAAAAAATAAAATTGTCCAGATTATTTTGGAATTCCACAGGAATTGGCCTGGATTCAAAATTAACATGGTCTAGATTATTTGATGAGTGCATCTGGAAATATGAGCTTCAAAATTAACCTGGCCCAGGTTAAATACTGTGATCAGGTGTACCTGTACTTTCATGAATCGCTTGGCTGTGAAATATGAGCCCGAAAATGGGCCCTAACAGATGGCAATCCAGGCACGAAGGGAGGTCTTCTTTCCTTATTCTGTTCCCGTTTTGCCCCTGGTAATGCTTGTAGCACTTGCAGCCACAAGCAATGCAATTCGCTATGACGCAGAAACGGGCTAAAAGGTCCCGAACATGCTGTGAGAGGTCTGATGTGATGTTTTTATGCCTTTCCCGAGAACGAATCTGCGCGGAATCGAACGGGAAGCGGGGGGTTGGCGTGCTCTAGATGGTGACCAAATCATTACTTTTTGGTGACTTCGGACACAGCACTACGCTTCATAGTACTGTACCGTATTACGGGCAACGTATCACGAGCATGATGAAAAGAAAAGGAACTTCATTCCCATGCGTTTTACGTTGCGGTCGAGTGTGCGCTGTTACAGAAATGGAAATTTTGGAAGAGAATTCACTATTCACCCTGTGGTTGAGATGCCCTGACGACCTAAACCCTGCGACGCACTCCATGTTTGAGTAAAAAGCGTGGCACACAAATGTCCTATGTTGGCAGGCGGGTGCCAGGCGATCTTTGCGCAAAGGCAGACATGGGCCGATAATCTCTTCTTGTTCAGGACCTTACTGTATAAAGGCCTGTTTTTTGGTGGGCTCAACCGCCGATATACCGAAGCCCATCGAAGTGACAGGTCTACACCAGACACTCCTTTGAGATTGACCCCTCCCTAATCCTCTCCTGAATATGGCATACCCGTACCCCCCATCTCCATACACACCGGGCTCTTGGTCTAGAGAACAAGATGAGAACTATTTCGCTAACCTGCAGCTTCCGCCAACTCGTCCGCTCATATCTTACGTCTATACGGGGCATACAAGCACGAATAACATTCTGACAGGGATCTTACCAGAGCAGACAAGGTTTTATGCATGGTCCGACTTTCATAGGAAGGTGAGAACTGCACGAAGGGATTCCAAGAATACCATCGCTTCTTTATCCGGCACCGAAAGTGCGGCGGTTGGAGGCATGTTTGATGGAGCTAAATGGCAATTAACACGTAATTACATCATTACCACAGAGGCTGATACGTCATCTATTGTTTTGAATGCTTCTAGTTCTGTGGCTCGTGTTTACGGAAAGCTCGACCATAATCAAATACTCATTAGCTGTGGTCACTATGCAACTATGCCATCTGATGTGTTCCGGTATGGTGGGGCACCACAGATTGATTTGGTCTTCCGTCGTTCCCTGGGCACTGTTGCTTCGGGAAGTCATCACCGGAATCAAGAACCAGTCATCCTAGTGGCAGGAGAGGTCAAAAGGCCTTCAATGCCGCTCACTCACATTCTTGTTTCTGGGAATACTGCGGAGCATGTTGCCGCAGCACACAATGACGGATACAAGGCAGGGGGGAAGACTTGGTACGTGAGAATGATGTCGCAGGCTTTGACGTACGCCATGCATACGAAAAATGGGTGCGTCTTCTTAACAAACCACAACCAGGCCATGTTCATGAAGGTTGGAGCGCAAAGCGGGAGGAGGGGATGGAAAATGATGGTTAAAGTTTCCAGGCTTTACAAATGTAACGCAGACGAGTCTTCGTTCCATGGCATCATCGCGATACTCCGTGAAAGCGATCTAGGCTCTGACGGTAGAGGCGAGCTTCGAGCAGCCTACAACTATTTTCAACAGACCCTCCTGGAGGAGAGCCCGCGTGAAAGCTCGAGACGCGATGAAACCAATCGCAATGCCCCGAAAGCCAAGAAGAGAACAACGGGGCGGGGTTCTCGTGCCAATAGGGCCGCATCCGGCCGTAGTGGCACCACTGTCGCGAATATGGTAGCATCCATCCAGGAAGAGAATGGGATTGCGAAAATCAAGAACAGTCCCTTTTTTCTACGATGTGCGTCAACGCTGTATCAGCCAGAAGTGATCGAGCGTTTGATGGGGGCTTCTGACGATATCATCAGGATGGCCAAGAACTTGACGGTATCTCGGGGCTTTAATGACGTGGCTGACATGGCAGTGGCTGCGAAGTATTGGAACGGCGCTAGGAAACACAGACAGCAGATGGTCTCGAAGGAAGCTGAGTTGTACAAGGAAGTCGCCGAAAGATGTCCGAACTTGTTCTGGGCAGTTTTAATGGGTCAGGTGACATTATGGAAAGAACCGGCCACAGAATCTGCGGTCATAGCAGAGCACTGGGGAGAATCTTTGAGAATAGAAAGGAACAGAAATGGGTTTAACGCAGTGTTGGAGTGCGGCCATATTGCGTAGGACAGCAAAGACTATGAATTGTGTCTTGTGTCAAGACAGCAAATGCCCTCATATCATATCATTTTTTGTGATAATACCTATACACGTATACACGTAGTACACATCACACACGGATATCGTGTCACCTACGACGGCAAGTGGCCGCCGTACTTAGTGTAGAGGGAGCCGGATCAGAGAGTAAACGAAGGGTATCGTTCCTGCACCACAGGTTATGGACCCGACGCAAGAACCGCTGCAAGACGATCACCACAACGCGGGAAGACATCCAAGACGGTCACCACGTCACAGACAAGAAAACCAAGCGAGCAACACCACCCCAAGCCGCTTAGAATACGTCCCAGGAAACCCCGCCACGCCTCCGCAAACACTCGTCGAGAGCCCACATCAAGCTCCTCCACGATCCAGTGTCGAGAGCGGCCAAACTCCCGCCCCACAAGCCGACAGAAATACACCAGCCATCACCATGGCAAAGCCCGAAGAAGCACAGCTGCACGATCACAGGATCCAAGCCCGCCTGCCCCCCCTCATCCCCAACGGAAACAAATTCCCTGCATGGAGGCAGGCACTGAATGACATGCCCATCATTCAGGGAATGGAAAATGTAATGTATCCAACATACACAACCCCGGATGAGAGCAGCCCACTGTATCAAACACACAGACGGAACAGCGCAATCATGCCCATGGCTATCACTAACTCCATCCCGACCACCTTCGCTGCAACAGCCGATCTAGCACTCGATGCTTCCCCCAGCCACATAACACAAACAGTTCACGACTACTTTGCAGATGCTACAACAACGGCTCACTTACTCCTCAAGCAAGAAGCAGAGAGCACAATAATGACTCACGACACCACGCTTGACGAGTACATTGCACGCCACAGAGCAATTCAAACACGACTGCGAATGGTCAACTACCCCAACACCTAATCCGGCGAATCGGTCGCAGTCCCAATCGTGATACAAGGACTGTCAACTCAAACAACATACAAACACCTCCAAGATACATGGGTGGAAACCGGCACCGTCCCGGAAACAATACAAGCGCTTGTACAACACCTCAAGGAATTGCATGCACTAACCATGGAGCGTCAAGCCAAAAATCAGCACGCCCCCACCGACATACACCAGCTACCAACCAACTCTTACCGAATGCCATCATACCTGAGAAGAGGGCGAGGAAGACAAAGCGGACGCGGATGGTACCGAGTCACAACCAGAGAGTACCAGCCTAGAGCCCCCCTGACATGGAGAGCAACCCCCGCACGCCCACACACCAATATGTGAGAGGCAAATCGAGGCCAGCCCCAAAAGCTGCAAAAGGAAACGCAGCAATCATCACACACGACATGGATGATGACAACCACAGGGACTGTGAGCAAGAGGACACGCACTACCACTAAGTTGAAGGTAGGACATTCACACTTGACTCAGGTGCGAACCCAACACACATCAAACACCCCACAAAGGCATGCACCGCCTAACACGTACAGTGCGAGCTAACACCGCAACTTCTATCACCCCCCCTCCCTGCAACTCACCAGGGCATACTTCAGATCCCGATGACCAATCGCAACTGGCTTAAGCTACCGACCCTCATCAACCCCCATGTACGAAAACCCTCTTATCCGTACATGACATCGCCAAACAGTGGGATCCGTCATCTTCTACCGAAATAGTGCCTACGTGCTCAACACAAAAAACAACTACCACGCATTGTTGGCAATGCCAAATTCAGCAAGGGCCTCTACAACCTCAACGTGGCAGCACCCCCGCCGCAGGCAGCAGCCCGAGCGCTCCAACACACGAGAGCACCAACCAAGCAGAAACGCAGACCAACACCAACACCGCGAAAAAGAACAACGCCAGTGGCCCCACCGAGAAAGCGAACGCTGCAACCAAATAAAAGCGCCTCCCCAATGCAAATGCAGCAAAAACCCGCACCGACTCCCCCCAAAAACGCAATCCCAAAGCACAGCACGACTACCACCATTGGCATATGGTGTTCAACCACATCCGACCCTCCACTATCCAGCAAATGGCGAAACGGAAAATGATCCCAAACTTGCCCAAATCCCTTTCCCAACCCCCGCTAAAAGTAACATGCCCTAGCTGTGCAGCAGCCAAACTGCACCCCGCCAAGCACAGCTGCACCACCCACGGCTACAGAACAGGAGAGGCATTCAGCAGTGACATTTTCGGCCCCTTCCCCACGGCATCCAGACAAGGAAACAAATACTTCATGACCGTGATCGACACACAATCACGCTATCTCATAATCACCCTCCTAAAGACCAGAGATCAAGCCGCAGATCATCTGGACAATGTGCTAACCCACCTCAACAAGTGGCAGTATCACAAGCCACGTATACTGCACACGGACAATGCGAAGGAGTACCTCTCGCACACAGCAAAGGCGATGTACAACACACACGGCGTACAGCATAGCACTACAGTCTCCCACACACCCCAAGAAAATGGAATTGCGGAAAGAGTCAACAGAACCATTATGAACGCAGCACGGGCATCCCTCCACCATAGCCGACTCCCAAGTCACCATTGAGAAGATTAAATAAAAGACGCAGCCTTTAAATACAACCACGCACTGCACTTGGGCACTGGGCAAATCCCCATCACAGAATGGTACGGCCATAACCCCAAAGTCACGCAGTACCTCACATTTGGACAACTGGGGCACGCTTCACACATAACCAGCAAACTCCAAGTGAAAAAGCTGCACCCCCGAGCGCTCACTGTGCGGTATTTGTACGCAACTGACCCAACGCATGTCATGATGCTCAACATGTGGGATGGAAAAACCCGGCGCATACAGTCCGTGGACTTTAGACCGTACTACAAAGAAATGGACCCAACTTACAAAGTCAACATCCTATTCAAATCGTTCACCCCAAAGCCCACTCCCAAACAAATCAACGCCACATCACCAGCACCGATGCACCATGGTCAGGCGAAAAATTACCCTGACGCACGAGTGTGAGAAGAAGCCCACAACAAGGAACTCGACAACCTTGACAACAATGAGGTCGTAACATGGACGCCTGCACGGAACATCCCCAAAAACACGAAACCCATCCCGCTCACGATGGGGTATCGATACAAAAGAAACGAAAAAGGGATAATTGTGGAGCGAAAAGCACGGTGTTCTGCCAGAGGGGACAAGATGATACCACGCGTACACTTCGACCCAGAAAAAACCACAAAATATATGGCAGACAAAACCACTGTACGCCTCCTATTCGCGCTTGCAGCCACGTTCCACATGCACATCGAACACATCGATATAAAGGCTGCATACCTACATGAGAAGTTTGACCACTCAGGCAGTGAGCCCGTATATGTCCGACAACACCCGAGATTTGACGGATCTTACAAGCACCCCCATTCAGTCGGCAAACTCAACAAAAATATATATGGCACACCCGGCGCCGGCCACACGTACCTCAGCACAGTAGTCAAACTACTCTGAAAACACACGTTCACTCAATCAGAGGCGGACATGTGCCTATTCCACCGACGCACACAGAACCACATCATCATCGTGTCCGTGAGTATGGATGACTTCACAGTCATCAGTACCGTACTGATGACTGTGAAGTCATTTTTGCAGTTGT